AAGAAAAAGAAAGAAAGGAAGGAAGGAAGGAAGGAAGGAAGGAAGGAAGGAAGGAAGGAAGGAAGAAAATAGATGTTAACTCTCACCTGGAGGGGACCTCTCATTCCTTTAATACATTTTTATTTAGTTCCTATTCTGATTCCTGCCCCCTACTCTTCCCCTCCCCCAGATAGCTTAGTACTGGACTGGAAGCCATATTTGTATGGTTTGGGTTCTTAGGAATAGAAAGCTGAACTGAGATTCACCTAGACTCTGTGAGGAGGCCCGCCTCAGTGTATAGCATCACTTCAAACCCCTGGCTGATAGATCCTTTCAGGACATTGTTCTGAAGATGCTGGGTAGGGGACTGCTAAATAGAGATTTTGACATTTGCATTTGGCTGCTATCAGAGACTGAACAGAAACCACAGCTTAAATAAAAAAGTTTCTTTCTTTCTTGTATAACAGAAATCCAAAGGTTAACAGTCCAGGAGGCTAACACCAGGTGACTCCGTGGTGTCAGCAGTTGCCCCACATGTTGTAGTTGCTCAGGTCATGCACTACACAGCTCCAGGGGATGTCAGTCACATGGACTGTGATGCTAAAAACATAAACCATGCATGGTGACATTGGCCAAGGTTCATTCTATCTTCCTATTTCACCGTCCTTAGCCTGTGGTTTCTTCCCTCAGTGTTGCCTCATGGTCCACGGTATTAATTCTACCTTACGTATTGGTAGAATTCTCCAGGAAATCCTACTGGAACTGGACATTTCTTTTCTGGGAGGTTTTAAATGAGCCATTCATTTTTCAATAGATATAGGTTATCCAGACGATCGACTTCATCTTTGAATTTAGATAGTTTGTGGCTTTTGAAGAATTGGGCTTTTTTTAAAGCTGTTGAATGTATGATAAAGTTATTCTTAGTACTGTTTTCTCTATTCTTTTTAATGGCTCCAGGATCTGTAGTGATAGCTATTTTATTCCTGATATTGGTGATTTGTGGCTTCTCTCTTTTTATTTTTGTCAACCTTGCTAGAGGTTTATCTATCTTGCGGTCCCCACAAAGAATTAGCTTTTTATTTTATTAGTTTTCTTTATTGTTTTCCATTTCAATTTCATTTCTGCTCTTACATTTATTTTTTCCTTCCTTATGCTTGCTTTAGGTTTATGTTATGTTTCTTTTTCTAATTTATTGAAATAGAAACTTTGGGTTATTGATTTGAGACCATTTCTCATTTCTTTTGTAAGAATTTAATGCTATAAAATGTCTTCTCTGCATTGTTTTTAGTTACTTCCCTCATATTTTGATATGTTCTCACTTAGATGTATTTTAAAAAATTTTTCTTTGAGACATTCTCTTTGGTCACTGATTATTTAGAAGTGACTTGTTTAATATTCATGGATTTAGAGGTTTTCCCATATCTTTTTGTTATTGATTTCTATACTTGATCTTAGCCAAAAGGCCAAGAAGCAATTGTTATAGATTTCTAGTTTGATTCCATATGGTCAGAAAGCACACTGCATACTTTCAATTATTTTAAATTTGTTGAGGTTTGTATTATGGCACATAATATGAAAAAAATGTGTCTGCTGCTGTTTTGAGTAGAGTGTTCTATATATGTCAATCTTATGGTTGATTATTTTTTCAGATCTTCTATATTTACGCTATTTTCTAGTAGTTCTATTGGTTGCTGAGAGGGGGACTGAAGTCTCCAGCTATAATTGGGGACTTGTCTGTTTCTTCTTTCAGCTTTATCAGTTTTTATTTCATGTATTTTGAGACTCTGTTGTTTGATGTGTGTACAGTCAGGATCATTCTAACATCCTGGTGGACTAATCCTTTACCATTATGTTAATGTCCCTCTTTGTCTCTAGTAATTATTTTTCCTCTTCAGAAGTAAGACTTTGCCAGATATTAATATAACTGTTCTTTTTAAAAATATATTTTTATTGATTTCAGAGAGGAAAGGAGAGGGAGAGAGAAAGAAACATCAATGATGAGAGAGAATCATTGATCCACTGCTTTCTGCACATTCCCCACTGGCGACTGAGCCCGCAACCAGGGAATGTGCCCTGACTGGGAATTGAACATCGAACTGGTGACCTCCAGTTCATAGGTTGACACTCAACCACTGAGCCACGCCGGCTGGACACCATTCTTATTGGTGTTTTGAAGGCTATCTGTTCTAATGTGAGGCACCAGAAGTCCCTGTGGACCATGTTCATTGTTGTCACTGAGCCATGGTGAGCTCTGGAGATAGCTCAGTGATGCAGTACAGCCAGGATGCACAGTCACCAACTCTCTTCTAGAAGGTTCTACATCCTCTGTTACTGTCTGAGCTGCCAGGTTGGCCTTAGAGATTTCTACATGGAGTGTATTTGCTGTTCTACAGAATGACTTGGCCACAGGTTTACTGGGTGGATGATCTTTTGGTGTATGAGTATG